GTGTGCATTCTCACATTGTTATTATGAATAACATTTCTTAAATAATTATATATGATTCTCACACTGATTTTGAAATTTTGCATAAGAGTCATTGTCAATTTAAAACAAGTTTTTTGAATTATGGAAAGAGAAACACTACTATGGTAATGTTATTTTGGATCAAAACATGATAAACTGTCGTACACAGTTCATTATGACCGAACAATACATATGCATTCCTTTAATTCTATGTGGATGAAATTAGTATTTCTCCATTTTATTCTTTGTTTTTCAATTTTCTCAGTTAAATTCTTAAATATTTTAGACATTTAATTTTCTCTAATTTGGATCTTACAACAGCTCTGTGTATTTTTAAGACTAGGATTAGCTACTGAATAAATATTGAAAGGTGTTAGGAAGGTTTTAAAAAACAGTCTGTTGTGGTCGCGTAAAATCTTTTGCAATTTAGTGTTGGTGCAAAGATAGAATAATGAAAATAGGGAAATATTCTATTAAGAGAATGACGGCAGAAGAAACAGGATTAAGAGTTACAATGATTGTCACCCTATTTATAAGCTAAAACTAGAGTTACTAGAATAAGATAAAATACTAAAATACCCTCTAACAAACTTAGGGGCTAAGAAAACTAAATAAATATGAATTACTATTAATATTCTAATACCATCCCTTAATTCATATTCCATCAAAACTTGTAACACCAATTCCATCCCTTAGTCTGAGAAATTGATCAGTCTTGATAGCTTTCGTCAGAACATCTGCCAACTGCTTCTGAGTGCTGCAGTGTACAACTTCTAACACTCCACTCTGAACTTGATGTCTCAGAAAATGATACTTGGTCTCAATATGCTTGCTTCTCCCATGCAACACTGGGTTTCTGGCAAGGTTGATTGCAGACTTGTTGTCAATCATCAACTTCAGAGGTTTGCTTACTTTAATTTTCAGATCCTGCAACAGATTCAGAATCCACACAGCTTGGCATGCAGTAACAGCACCTGCAATGTATTCAGCTTCACAGGTTGATAACGCCACAACAGGTTGCTTCTTGGAACACCAAGAAATAGGACCTCCCAGAAATTTAAACAAGTACCCAGATGTACTTCTTCTGTCAACTCTGTCTCCACACCAATCAGAGTCTGAATAACTCAGAAGTTCTGACTCATTATTTCCTCCAGAGGGAAATAACACTCCATACTTCAGAGTTCCTTTGATATACCTCAGAATCCTGACAACAGCTTGGTAATGGGACCATTTAGGTTTACTCATGAACCTACTAACCATCCCAACTGAGTAGCAAATATCAGGTCTGGTATTGCACAGATACCTCAGAGAACCAACCAACTGTTTGAAGGTTGTAACATCCACATCCTTTCCTTCAGAGTCTGAATCCAGTTTCTGATTTGTATCAGAAGGTGTGACAACCATCTTACAATTCTTCAGATCAAATCTCTTCAGAAGTTCTAATTCATACTTGAGCTGATGCAAAATGATACCTTTCTCAGAATATCTGAACTCCATCCCTAGAAAGTATGTCATTTTGCCTAGATCAGTCATTTCAAATTCATTCATTAGAACCTTCTTGAACTTGGCTATCTCCTGTTCAAAACTTCCAGTCAATAGTATATCATCAACATATAAACATACCAGAGTCATATTGCCTTCAGAAGTATGCTGAACATAGACACCGTACTCCATCTCACATTTCTGAAAGCCTTCATTCTGAACTTCTTGAATTCATCAAACACCTCGTGTTTAAACTTAATAAGGGATACCCATGTCATTCTTGTGAATTCATCAACAAACAACACAAAATATTTATTCCCTCCAATTGATGCTACTGGAAATGGACCACACACATCAGAGTGTACAACTCCCAAGGCATGTTTTGCTCTTGGAGCAACTTCTGATGCAAATGGCAATCTTGGTTGTTTTCCTTCCATGCAAACTTTGCATGACTTTTCAGGCTTCTTAATTGCATGAATTCCATGTACCAATTTCTTTGAATTCAGATGTTGTAAGCTTCTGAAATTCAAATGACCAAATCTTCTGTGCCACAGCTCACTCTCCTTCTCAGTACTTGTTGCACTAAGACACTCTGAGTCTGCAGTTCTGACATTCACCTTGAATGTTCTATTCCTTCCCTGTTCTGACTCCATAATCAACTTCTGATTACAGTCATACAGCTTCAGAAGATTGTCCTTCATGGTAACTGAGAAACCTTTCTCAATTAATTGTCCCACACTCATCAGATTGCTTCTGATGCCAGGTACATACCACACATTCTGAATCAATGCTATTTTCCCATTGTTCAGAGTCACTCTGACATTTCCCATACCTTCTGCATTAAGATATTTGTCATCAGCACATCTGATCTTTGTTCTCTTTTCAGAGTCAAAGTCAACCAGCCATTTCTTGTTTCCAGTAAGATGATTTGAACAGCCAGTGTCCATATACCACCAGTCTGTCAGATCCACATTATCAGATTCAGAGGCCATCAACAGCACAGATTCGTCATCAGAGCCTCTGGCTATATTTGCTTCTTCTGATTTCTTCTCCTTGTTTGACCAACAATCTCTAGCAAAGTGACCAAACTTTTTACAACAGTAACATTGGATCTTCTACTTTGCACAATACACTCAGATTTCTCACACAGTGTTTCCCAACCCACAGAATAAAATTCTGATCAGATTTTGTTCATGATTCAACACGAATCTAAGAATCAAAATCAAACACACAAGACCTCACGTTCACTCGTGTTTCCCGTGTTTCCCAATGAATCTGAACCGGAGCTTTGATACCAATTGTTGGTGCAAAGATAGAATAATGAAAATAGGGAAATATTCTATTAAGAGAATGACGGCAGAAAAAACAGGATTAAGAGTTACAATGATTGTCACCCTATTTATAAGCTAAAACTAGAGTTACTAGAATAAGATAAAATACTAAAATACCCTCTAACAAACTTAGGGGCTAAGAAAACTAAATAAATATGAATTACTATTAATATTCTAATATTTAGGTCGGTACTGGTGTTATGATACTGATTACAGACATCGCGACACCAAACGTAAAGTCATCGCATTTTGAATTAACCAAAATTTATTCTTTAACATAAAAGTTGTGAAAACGGTATTGGTATCGACACTTGCTGATACAATTTTTGCAAATTTCCTTTAGTGGTGAATTTTCCATTTTTTGAATTTCTATTGTGTGCGCAAATCAAACTACATGTTCGGATTTTAAAAAAACATGTTCAGATGTGATAATTGAACATTACTTTTTTGTTAGACTTGTTTTATTAAGAGTTCTTTAGGCTGTATTGTCTCTCATTTGTGAGTTTTATGCAAGTTTTGTTCACTTAGATTAATGGTTCCACAAATGGCTTTCAGTGTGTTGCTTCTCGTTTAATTTCATTAAGAAAGATAAGTCTGTATTTAATTGTTCTTACAAACTCTATCCTATTTCATGTTATATTTCTATTTTAATGTTTAACTTTTTTTCTGATGCTTGATTTCTAGAGCTATTTTATGATGGTAACGTGATAATTTCTTTCTATTTTGAACTAAACTACAACCAGTGAATAAGTGAAGCGCAACAATCCAAATCCTATGTCTATTTTTGTTAATTGTGGCTGTCTCTGATCTTATATGTGTTTTTATTTCTAGAGGTTGTTTCGATGAACATTTCAAGATTGTTGTGAAGAAAACAAAGAGTGGTGATGAGAGAATTTGAGTGACCGCTAGATTTTGCGGCTGTTTAATTAGACTCATTTTAAAAATGATTTTTATAGTGTTATGTATTTTGTGTAAAAAAATTTTATATAGAAACTTTTTATAAAATTTTGAAATAAAAATTTGATTAAAATAATTATTTTTAAAATGTTATTTTAGGTATTTCATCATTTTATCAAAATTTAAAAAAAAAGTCACTTAATTTTAAAGCTATTTCAAATAATTTTTTATAAAAATTATTTTTTAGATAAATTTTTTTGAAAAATTATTATTTTGACTATATTTTGATCTGTTGTTTTGTAAGATTTATTCCATAAAATTATTCTGCAATATGTTTTATTAAACAAGAATTAAAGTTGTAGAAGGATGTTAAAGCATTAAATAGATAATGAAAGTGAAAAGGTGAACAACCAAGAAGAAGAAACAATTACAGGGACCTCTCTAGAAAAATTGGTGCATTCTTCCCCACAAGGAACCCTATTGAAATATTGATTCCATAACTATCAATAGTAATCATTTTCTTATTTGAAAATATGCCAAACAGAAAATATACCTGTTCAAAAGATTTAGAAGCAAAACAGAATCCCAAGGGCACTAAAAGCTATACCTGCAACTGCTTCAGCCCTGTATGCACATCATATTAGAAAAAATGATGCTAAAAAGTTTCCCAATCAAGATGGACAAATGTTGTAGCATAGCTAGTTTATGTTCCTGCAAGATCCAAATGCCTACTCGTCCTGAAAAGCGAAGAAGCCAACTGAGGCAGCGCCTAAAAAAGGACGTGAAAGGTGAAATTAATCAATCCCACTTGCGACTTTAATGAGGGAGAAAGAAGCTGAGTTTGATGAATTATCATGAATTTCACAGTGCTAGTGTTTCTGAGTGAATTTCACAGGGGCCAGTGCGAAATTTTAATAGCACTTTATTATAAAGTGCTATTAAAATGGTGCTGTTATATGTAAAAATTGTAGTAGCGAACACATTTGTTATCTAAATTACATTTATTGATACAATAATCTGATAAAAACATCAAAACTTGCATAAACAAACAAACTCATTAATCACAACAACAAAATTTATTTTCACGTGAACTACTCAAACAACAGCTGATACATATCAATTGAATTTGGGAAAGAAGCCGAATAAATGTGCATTCTTTTCGTCATCGTGACAAGTTTGACATACCATTTAAAAAACGAGTGGCAACACGCATATACTACTAATGATTAGCAAATACACGTTTTATTTAAAGAAATGGTAGAAGAGAATTAGCTATTCGAAGGGCTTGTAGATCGCAAGTTCTGAGATGATTCCTTGAACTGATGCAACTGCAGCAATAAGAGTGATAATAAGGCAAAACAAACTCAAAAGTTTCATCCCTATCCATAGAGAAGAATACTGTGGCACTTTAGCTCGTTTTAGGTACATCTCTGTTGGAAAATACACTGTCAATGGAAAGAACGACATAGCTCCGAGCAAACCCACAACGCTGTTGAAAAATGGAAATACTATAGCCAATAATGTTACGATTATGACATACATTGTCCTCCATATCAACCTGAACATATTCATTCTCCATATACCAACCATTGGAATTCTCACATTATATTCTTTTGTCATCAATGTACTTTCTGGCCAACGCTTACTACCCCAACTTTCCACAAGAGAATATATAGGCTGTGCAAATACCTGAAACGCTCCAACTAGATGAATAATAATGAAAAGATTACCAATATCAACGAGCCAAAACGGTTCGTAAAATCCAAATCCAGTTAAAAAATTTCCCGGTGCTTTATTCCCAAATGCTGCATACCCTAGAATACCACATAATGCATAAAAGAACGTGGTGATTGAAATTCCAATCAGTGATGCTTTCTTCATGGTTTTATTTTCTGGTGGATTTGATTTTAGTGTGTCCTGTAAAAAAATAATTCAAATTTCATCATTTTAATTTAACTTATGAAGAATCGCGAGTTCGATAAAAGAAAAATATATAATATCACTTGCCTCTATCTCAATAATAACCATACTGAAAGCATATGCAAAAGCTATGTTTCCAAGTGCTTGAAAGGTATTCCAGATCTTTTTTGAACTTGTGATATCCACTCCTACCACTAGTCCTGTAAGGCTTGTCTCCAAACGGTGTCCTCCTTCTGTATATATAACAAATATAGAGATGTTTTTGTCATATTAGCATAACCACGAGTACTATTTCTCGTTAATTTTGTATTTACGTAAATATAACTAAGGATGAACCTGCAATTTTTGCTATGGAGAGACCGATGCCGATAGAAGCATAACCAAAAGACATGACAGCAGCAACAATAGAGAGCCATGAAAGTTCATGGAAGTCTGGAATTTGGCTTAGGAGAATCTGAAGGACCCCAAAGATAGCCATATATGGATAATTGGGAGTATCACAATCTGCTTCACGACCATACTTATGATAGCAATTGGATTTTTTTATGGCCCTAGTTAGAAAGAAACAAGCAAGTATTATAATTATTTTTACAATTCTCACAGCTTTACTAAATAAAATCTATTATAGATTTAGGTGAGAGATTCTTACACTATGCTAATGGATGATGTTAGAGTGTAACCAATGGTAGTACCCACAAGAATTGCATATTGTGCCAATCCACACAACTTTTGCTGATATCCACCTGTAGATAATGAGATTACAATGTAACAATCATTACACAATTTATCTGTCACACCATGGTTTTAAATTGCGTCCACAACCGCAACTGCATCTATAATATTGCGGAGGAAATTGCATCGGACCACAATTGCGATGTCATTTTAAAATCACGCCTCTGACTGTATTATGAACCACGTCATAAAATTTTAATCATTAATTTTCAAGTATTTTCATCAAAAAATAAAAAATATTAGTATCTTAAAACTCAATTTACAAAAACTTGACATTAAATATTTTTTAACATTGTATTTCAAACATTTTTCTATAAAAATTCACATCGCAACCGGTGCAATGTGTATTGCAACAACTTTAATTATTGTAATTGAAACATCCGTAACTGTAACTGCAATTTAAAAACACATGTCACACTATTATGAATAAATAAAAATAATCAATATTTTCTAACCAAGAAAATACATAAATTTTTAATCAAAGGTAATCAAATTTCAACTAAATAAATATAACAAAATTAAATAATTAAATAGGGGCACTTGCCTCTAATAAATTTAAACTAGATTTATATCAATCCCATGTAGTAAAGCACAAATGTTCAGTAATACAGTTAAATTAAATCTCAATCATTATATTAAGATTTACCTCATTACCATTTACATAATTTGGTGTAATCAATAACTCTTATTCAAATCATTTCGAATTTGGCTAAAAAATATCAAATTTTATTTAAACAAATCCAAATCTATGACTTGAAAGTGAAACATTAAGCATGTAACTTTTATACTTACCTAAAATATTTTTTACAGCCTCTATGTAAGTGTGGTTTCTGATTCCATTGACAGGATCAGGATACCTATAGCAATCACAAAGTAGACAAGAAGTGAAACAAGTGATAATGGAGAAGAGCACGAGAACAGCAGATCCTGCAATCCATCCCAATTGTGCAACAGCCCATGCCAAAGATAACACTCCAGATCCAATGACAGCAGTAACTATGTGTGCGGTTGCGGTCATGCATGTTCCTTAATGAATCATAATAAAAACATAATTAATGTCAACGACTGAACAATGAAACAAAATAATTTGATCCATAAATAATTAACACAGACACAAAACTCAATAACTAACTATCTAATTAATAAAATTTTGAAAAGATGACATAATGAAATATATAATTAAATATGTTAATGACTCTCGAATATTGGACATGTCTGATATAAAAATTGTCGGTGCTACAAATGTTTTGATAACGCGACAAAATACACACCTGTTCGATTTATGAGATCATCTTCATTGTATTTACTATCCTCCACGGAGAAGCTACTTTCAGTTGTCATACTTTTCTCTTTGATTTCTTTTTTCTCGAAAAGTGATATGAAATTTTTAGCTACTAAGCCCTTTTTAAAAGAATATTTAAGAATATTTAATTATAAAACCAAAGCAAAAGTTTGACCGAAGTCGGTATTCAAAACTCTAATAAGAAATATATTTTTTTAATTCCTTAAGGATACGTTCTTATCTTGGATGTTTTTAAAAAGTTTTGATCGATTAAGTAATTTAGTTTTAAAAAGGATTGATTCATTCCTAAGAGATAATGTTATCTCTTCAAAACATAGTGTAATTTATATACCATAGTTTATCAAAAAAAAAAGAGAATTTAATAATATACACTAAGAATTTACTGTTACCAAATATTAATGCAATAATTCATTATTATTAGTTTTATTGTGATTTAAATAACTAATATTTTCTTTCATTAAAATAATTATGCAAGGAAAACAATAAAAAAAATGGAAGAAGTAATTTAAAATAAAACAATCTATTTAAAGATAATCATATGCATTGCATCAATGTTATTTACAGCAACGCGGTTTTTGAGTGCATGGATCCAAAGTAGTGTCAATATTACATTGTCCAAAATTTGACACAAATAAATATTAATTAAATAGAATATCATAAAATAATAGTTACTGATAAAATAAAGGTTTTAATAATTTTATCATGCAAAAAATGTATAATATAACATTATGGCAAAAAGCTATTAGATCCAACTCTTTGAGTATATTTTATTTGTAAGAAAATTAATTGTTATACCAAATTTTAAAATTTTATCACTTTATGCATTCAACCAGCTATGGACAGGTAGAGTGTTTAGACAATAAAGGAATAATCTTATTAGTACCAAAAATATTTCTCTATAGTTATAATATTTTATTTTTATGCACAATTATTTTAAATAGTATATTTCATGTTACTCAAGTTGTATTAATCCATAATTTTTTCCAATAATTATATCTTTATCATCAAGTATATTTATATCTTTAAAATGAATATAATATTTTTTTACTAAATAATCATAATAACTTTTGACTGAACAAACATGATTTTTCAAAATGAAAGAAAATCTATTTCCTTGCTAAATCATGATAACAATCATGATAATTAATTTAATTTTGTTTAGCCAAACACTGCATTAAATTTCTCCTTTTGGATGGTCTAATTTAAGAGCGCTTTTGTGCAAAAATACTGTCTAAAAAGTCTAGAGAAAAAAAAAAAAGAAACTTTCTTATTAAATGATGCGTTGTTGATAGTTAAATAATATATATATATATATATATATATATATATATATATATATATATATATATATATATATATATATATATATATATATATATATATATATATATATATATATATATATATATATATATATATTTTATATTTCAAAGATTTACAGTGCTAAAGAGATGCTAAAATAAATTATCAATTTTAATATATTTTTCTAAAAAAACCATAAAAGAAAAACGTCTTTTACCAAAAGTGTTATCATTTTTTAATGCTCTTTTTAAAAAAGCGTTACCTCTTTTTTTTTTTTTTTATGTGACTCCTTTTAGAACGCGCATACAAAAATAATTATGCTTTTTATAAATAAATTGATAATTCTCTACGTAAAACCGTATCCTTAACTAAAACCTTAAATGTTATTTAAGGATGAATAATCAATAATACTAATTTATGTATAACTTCGAGTAAATCAATTCTATTGGCACCAAATCAAAAGTGTTGTTTATTGTTGTTTTTATTTAATTATGTTATAATAAATTTCTATCATATAAATAATTTATCATTTTCATTATAAATCTTGCTTTATTATATAACTTTTCTTTCTGAATATAACCCTTGCACGAATAAATGTGTTTCGAAGGAACAATCGGCGTTTGTGGAAGGAAGGTTTATTCTTGATAATGCTATGATTATTATGGAAATTATTCATATTCTAAAAAGGAAGATTAAAGGGGACAAGGTTCACCTTGCGCTTAAGATTTATATAAGTAAGGTGAATGATAGGGTGGAGTGGGATTTTCTTAAGGGTATGCTTCATAGATTGGGCTTTGCGAAAAGGTGAAGTCATTGGATCATGATGTGTGTAACTTCGGTGCAATACTCTGTTGTAGTTAATATAGATAGTGTGGGACCGATACAACTAGGAAGGGATTTGAGACAAGGAAACACATTGTCTCCTTATCGTTTTATCCTTATATCAGAAGGGATGTATGCGTTTATAGAGGAGCGGTCGCTCGGGGGATCTTCATGGATTCCAGATTTGAAGGGGGCATCTAGTTGTGTCCCATATGCTTTCGTTGACGATTGTTTTTTGTTTTGCAGGGCTAATATTTTTGAGGTGTCACATCTTATGGAGGTGCTTAAGACCTATGCAGACGCGTTTGGCCAAGAAATAAATTTGACCAAGTCTGAAGTGTTTTTTAGTCGGAGTATTAGCAGGCTGGCTCAAGATGATATTGCTAGAGTAATGGGAGTGCGTCATGTGTTAGGTACGCGATTGTACCTGGGTTTATCGTCGATGAATGGTAAAAGTAAAAAAGGCAACTTTTGCTTTTATTAAGGACTGAATTTGGAAAAGAATTAATTCATGAAGAGGTAGATCTTTGTCTAAAGTAGGGAAAAAGGTGATGATAAAATCAGTTTTAAAATCTATACCATCTTATATTATGAGTGTTTTTATTATACTGAACGCGGTTGTGAATGATATTGAAAAGATATTAAGCTCGTTCTGGTGGGGAGGTGGTAGTAGTAATAAAGGGATTAGATGGGTGACCTGGGATAAGTTATCTTGAACGAAGAAGGAAGGATGTATGAGATTCAGAGACTTTAAGGCCTTTAATTTGGCTATATATGGTGGCTAAACAAGGTTGGAACATGCTGACAAAACCTCATTCTCTAGTTACTAGAGTCTTCAAAGCAAGGTATTTTCATATATCCTCCTTTCTTGTTTCATCTCTTGCAAATAACACCATTTTTTTGTGGAGGGTCCTTTGGAAAGCTAGGGAAGTTTTATCAATTAGTTGCAGGTGGAATATAGGTGATGGAAGTCATATTAAGGTGATGAATGAACCTTGGCTAAGGAGGAAAGGAGACGGGTGTTTGGACGGCCCTCACAGACAAGGTGTGTATGATCTTTTTGTTCAAAACCTCATGATGCCTAATGTTAAACAATGGGACATGCAAGCAATAAGTTCTTTGTTTGATCATACTCTAGTTAAAGAGGTATCCAAACACTCCTATAAAAAACCCATTTAACAATGGTTGGGAAAGATATATAATCATGCGAGTCCAGGTGTTGTTATGTATAGTGTCGTTGAATATATGACACTTAAATACATGGCCCAGTAACCATTGTAATAAACTGAAAAGCGTGCGGCCTATCACAACCGGTTTTCCAAAAGACCGTTGTGATAAAAATATTTTTTTCTGGTCAGTACGCAAGATATTATAATGGTTCTGATATATAACCGTTGTTAAATTATCTGCAAAATTAACAAACATTATCCCGCTTTTATAATTAATCTCATTTTTTAACCTGTATTATTGTTCACCATATGACAACAGAAAATACAACTCAATTTATGATAAAGTTATCATAATAATATTAATTTTATCATATTCATAATATCAAATAATTGTATCATATTTGATACACCATAACATCATCACATGAATCCAAAGTAACCAATACATCAACCATTAAATCATCAGTCAACATACAAACCTAATAAACTATAATGTATTTCGTCATTGTTGTCATGCAAATGTTCAAAAACTGGGTGAAGTTCCACAAATGACATGAAAACTACAAATAAAAAAAACTGGGTAATCTTCAACTGTTTCTTCAGGAACTTCACCTTCAAATTCAATTCATCCTTCTTGGCTTTGTAGCTGTTAACCATCTCCTTCTCCTCATTCATATTCTTTAACAGTGAAGAAATTATTTATTTTGCCCTAAGATCCATCTCCTCATCCAAACAATCAAAGTGACAGCATTTTTTGTATCCTTGAATCTTATACATCCCACAGTCATAGAAACAGCGGCCTGGGTTCAAATCGGTCCACGCCATTAACAAACAACAACTGTGGTTCAAATCGGTCCATGCCATTAACAAACAACAAGTCGTTCAAGGCCATTAATAAACAATCAAAGGAGTGTCGATATCACACTTGCATACGTACCTTGAACGACTTGAGGACCTGCTTCCATGGCTACAATCGGACTGCTGAGACATTTAAATGGAAGGATTTGATGGAAACTTGAAGAAACTGGGTGAGAAGAAGAAGAATTGTGACTGGGGGGAAAAGAAGACGAAAAACAATTCAAAAGGATCAAGAACGTAAGATATACTCTAGGAGTGTCATACCAGTGTATCAGAACAATTTTTTTTGCTGACGGGGGTCAAATCTAAAGGAGAATTTTAAGTAATATAGAGTATCATGTAATAGGACTCGACTAAACACTAGACAACAAAAACAAACAACAACTAACTATAAAATAATAGAAAATGTGAAAAATAAAGCGGGAAAAAAAGCGGTAAAACTCCACCCCCACACTTGAACCAAACATTGTCCCCAATGATAAGTACAAGGTGGAAATAGGAGCGGATAAAACCTGGTAGGAGGCTCAGTTTCGGCCTCGGCCTCTATAACATCCAATACCGCCCATACCAAAAGATGGGTGTGGTTCATGTTGCATAAGCTCTCTCATGTTTGTTACCTCCATACGTAATCCGTTCATCTGCTCGATGAGGTCACCCATATTATGCTCGATCCTGTCAGCACAGTCAATCTACTGCTTTGTGACCTAGTGGATGGTGGACACCATCTCCTCTTACTGCCTCTGCATATTCCTGAGTAGCACATCACGCTCCGCATCAATATCATTGTGGTGTCTAAGCTCACACAGGACATCATCAAGGTCGCTCCCGATGGCGGTGTAATCATATTCCTCGCGTGACTGAGGTCCAGATGAAGTACCTGCAGAGAGGTTAGCATAACCACGTGTTGTGTATGCATGGGTGGTATCGGTCTCGGGAGCATCATGCTTCATACACTCTATCTCCTCATTAGTGTCATTGCCCACACCTGCCTGAACATTAATATTGTCACCAGGCTCAGGGACATTAAGATCATAAATCTAGTTGACCCTCACTCGCACATTAGTATAAGTAGTAGAGAGCAAAGTAACTCCTCTAATTCCTTTGTTACTCACCATTAAGTAATAGCTGCCATCAAATTTGCTCTTAATCAGGCACATACTACGGCAGACATCAATGTCTAAAAATAGAATCTCGAGTGGCTGGAGTGTATCCAAATCTGTGCGTAAATCCAGCGCAAGGGCTATGGATGTGATTATCCCTCCTACACAAATAGGACCACCTACTCTAACACTAACAGACTGAAGTTGTGCAAAAATAAAGGGTGTAGGATTCACCTGTGTCTGTGTCAGAGCGCATTATAAAAAGAAGGGGTCCTTGGAATTTACCTTTTCTTTAATCTTCCAACCAAAATGGTATTGGCTAAAATATGGTGAAGGTACCGAATTGCCTGATTATGAATAGTAGTGGCATTAAGGCATTCCCAATCATCTGTGGTTTGCCCAGTGATCTAAAGCCAAAAGCCAAGAGTTTTGGCTTCCCAATTGCTCCCTAGAGGGGCTTCGTATGAAAAGCCATCTCCATGAGGAAATTGAAATATGTTGGCCATATGGTCTTGATTAAACGTGTAATATTTGTTGAACATTCTAAAGTGAATGGTGGTAAATGTGTGGGTTCCTCCTATAGGTGTTTCATATTTATAAGTGCTTAAGAATTCAAGAGTAAGTCTAACATAAGTAGGACTAGCTAGAGAACAGAAATAAGACATTCCTAAATTATTAAGCATCCAGTTAACATTATCTACCAAACCTAAATCACGAAGGGCAACATTGTGGGGGTACCTCGTTGCCGCGACACTTCTCTCGAATAATTTGTGATACTTCTCTCTTTGGTTCTCTCCTTCAATTCCCTCTGAGAAAGTAATACCCAAATAATCAACCTTTCTTATTTGTCTTTCCATTCTAGGAGGCATGGTTAATGAGTGGAATGGTTGGATGGAAAAGTTGAGAAAATTGGAAAAGGGTGAGAATGAGTAGAAGACTTTTTGGATTGGAATGTGAGAAAATGGTTATAAATTTTTTTTTATGATGATGGAAAGAAGTTGGATGGTTTAGGAGTGAATGAGTGGAGTAGAATAAAATTTTTTCAAAGGTTTAAAATGTGGAATAAGTTGGAAAACACACAAGAGTGAAGTTTGAAAAGCGCAATTGCCTCTCAAACTGATATGGTGTTCGCGCTTTAGGCTCATGGAAAACTCCATTTGCCTAAAATGATACAATTTAAAAACAGGGGTGAACGCCATCAGCATTATGGGGATCACCATATGCTTTTAACATGTAGAAATTTGAATTAAGGCCTGAATTCAATGTGTTTTCTAAAGCTTATGGTTATCAAGGCCAGAATTCTTTAATTGGAATGGTTTATGCATATGGATTCAATTAAAATCATAAATATTAAATAACCAAAAAATTAATTAAACTTAGAATAAGGAAAAATGAACAAACATAATGAAATTGAAACGTGAAATAAACTTGCATTAATGGAAACATGGTAAAACTGAAACATGTGGCTACGTCGATAGCTCGACGATACAGTAACATAACAAGAAGGAATAAATGTAGTATGGGAAATGCAAGAAAATTCCTAAATAAAAATTAAACATAAAACACTACAAATAAACCAAAACTAGTCTCTACAACGTGCTACATTGGGCTGAAAGAATCGCCTCATAGAGTAAATATGCTGAAATAAATGATCGAGATGCTAATTAGCAATATCTATAAATCCTAGAAAATCTACACGCAAGGTGGTGAGGTCTCCTCTAAGTGTAGCAATCTGAATCTTGAGAGTGTCGATTGCAACAGTATGATCAACAGGAGGCTCTGCGTGAAAACTAGAGGCGAATGAAGCAACATCAGAGAAAATGACATTTCTGTTCTCATAGGTTTGAGGGGTATTAGGTGGAGTGGGTGACTCGCTCTGGCCCTCTAAATTGTATAGCCAATTATTCCTGTTGTGTACACTCATCTTCTCATGGTTAGGCAATGTAAAATTGTGTACTACCTGATTATCAATAAGGCGCTCAAAATCTATAGGTCCCAGATTTGCAATAATGCAACAGTTAAAACAAAAGTTGATATGCATTAGACGAATACCGGCCATAGCACGTAGATGAATAATGGGATATCTCAAACCAATGGAAGCAGAAATCATAGTGACTAATCCTTCTAGGAGGATAGGTCTTTGGGTCTCTTGGGCAATCTTGTCTAGGTTAACTAACATGAAAACAGAAACATTCATAGGTCTACCTTGGGATGCACATAACATGATGAAAAGTTCGTCTTGAGAAATAGAGGTAATGCTCGCTTCTTTCCTAAATAGTGTGTAGGAGAGGATCTTGTGGAAGTAATGGATAACAGAGTTGTGAATACTTTCAAAAAACATGGAATTTGGCTCGGGATGGTAGTATCCGGCTATGATACCCCAGAAAAATTCAAGGTCAAGATCAGTAAAAGCATCCTCCTGAGCTATAGTAAAAACATTTGGGCCATTAGGGAATCCTAACAGTTCATCCATCTCACGGTGTGTGAAACGGTACTTTGTCCCAAAAAGTCTAAAGGTAGTCAGGCCCCTGTTAAAACCTAACCTTATGTTAGGATCAAGAAAAAGGAACTTAGGAACTCTAGGGTCAATCTACGGTACCTGCTAAACCTCCTCTTCATAGAAAAATTATCCCTACCTATCTAGCTAAGATACATCACACTATCTCGGATCCCTAAAATGGTCATGGTGGTTCCATCAGGATAAATAGACAATGCCATATCTCTCTGAGCTAATGCTTCGAAACGTCGCCTCTGGGATTTGTTCCTAAAGACGACCTCCATATCATCAACATGCTGCATCCTCTAAAGTTAGTGTCAAGTTAGCCTAAAAGTAGACACACATTTAGTTAGTAGTGATTAGATCATTTAATTGTACCACATAGAAGCGTTTGAAAATAAGAAAAAAAAATAAATATGAAAATAAGAGTAAACTAAAAAACAAAAATCTAAACTTAGAGTCGTAGATTGCCTCCCACGTAGCACTTTGTTTAATGTGGGGAGCTCAACATTAATTCAGAAGGAGTTACTCTTTTGAAAGAGCGGATAGCTCTTCTAATATATAGCTTATGTAGAAATTCTTATTCTCTACGCTATGGTAGTGCTTAAGTCGCTGTCCGTTTACAAGAATGTCTCACTTGATTTTCCTCTGATTTCTACAGATCCGCTTTGGAAAACTTTTATGACCTCAAAAGGGCCAGACCATCTAGAACATAGTTTTCCTGGAAACTATTTCAGTCGGGAATTAAAGAGAAGGACTACGTCACCCTCATTAAATTCCCTCCTTGTTATTTGCTTATCATGCCACTGTTTAGTTATTTCCTTGTAAATTCGGGCATTTTCATAGGCATCTAATATAAGTTCTTCGAGTTCATGGATGTCTGTTGGAGCGGTAAAGCAGCAAGCAAAAATATTATTTTCGGAAGAATTTCCTCCGGGATTTATCGTCTCCACAGGGATCAGTGTGAGGGAAAGAATGTTGTTCGGCAATCTCTACGTCTCTAAGCTTGGGTTTGAATGGTTTGGGATAAAAATTCAAAAGGAAAAACAAACATAATACAAGAAAATGAATACATTCTTAAGAAATGAGAAAACTCGTCAGGAGTTGTATTTCGTTCTACCCATCATGTACTAAAAAAATATATTGATCAAATGCACGCAACCTAATTCACTAGTCAATATCATCACGTATCGCTCACAACAGAGCTTATCTCTAACGCAAAGTCGAGAGATCAACCGTATCGTCTCATTGTTGATCTCTCACACAACTCGACAACACGGAGCATTAAGAACCGATACCCATGTGAATATTAGTCCTAAATCTATCTCTAGTATTTAGAATCTAACAGATGTTCATCTTAGATCGAGTTTGAACCGTATATCTCTATCGCAATCCAAACCCATTAAGTAAAAAATCAAGATAGCCATCGATAAAGAGTTGTAAAAGAGATTTTAGACAAAGATCCATAAATATACATAATATCAAGACACTACAACAAAAATGACTTTCGGCAACAACTCAAAACCGCAACCTAAAGTGCAATAACCGTAGCCTAAGGCTTTAGGGGGCGGTTTATCAGACGTGGAATAAACGGCCGTTGCCTATTCCTTTAGAGCGCGGTTTTTTTTATTTTTAACCACGGATTCAAAACACCGTCGCCTAAATCATCAAATTCCACGGTTTTAGTTGTAGTTTTAGGCCGCGGTTTTCTAGTAACAACACAAAATAACCGTCCCCAAAACATGAATATACAACGATTATAAACAAGCAACAAATGAAAATCGTAGCTAGTTTATAATTTCATTTAAAGAACCGCGCCTAAAACTTAGGAAAAGTCCACGGTTTTTAATAAGCAACCCTTAAAAAGTGTTGCCTATATTTTCTTAGTGCCATAATCACAGAACATAGCATCGATTCAAGAAAACAACAAATAGAAGAACTCAAATGTCCCCTTACTGAATTGATGCATCAACCCAACTCGCACAGATGACATCTCATAAACTAGTGAAATTATAATAAATTAGCCACTTATTATTTCATAGACAGGTATATTGCACTCCTAAACAAATTTAACAGAAAATCAGAAGAATTAACCATCAAAAGTTCAATACAAATACAACTTCATGCAATAATATCTGAATGATATAGAGAAAGCATATTAGCCTTTCTTTGAGAAAGTTCACATGTTGTATCCAGCAAACTACATCCATTTAGATGAACATGATTACCAACTGGAACTTAAATACACCTCATGACTGCATTGGTACCTACAATATTACTAAGAATATTTGTAAAATCGAAGGAAACTATTGCATAATTTACATTTGCTGACTCGACATGCATCCACACTGCCAAGCATGCGACTTTCTTTTACAAAATCCAACCAGTAAGACTATTATAAACTACTTGTAATTCTTTAATAAACCGACTTATGATAAAAGCTGGTAAACAACATTAGGTCTGGGACTAAAGGCTATCGCTGTAACAGCTCCAGTATGTCCCCGCAAAACTGATATTGGTAGGCCGTCTGGCAGGCGCCACTATGAAAACCAAACAGTCAAATATAAAGTGCCAATAAATTACAGATAGAAGGGAGAGAAGATATGCAAAAGAATTGCTAACTTCGTCACAGAAAACTTACAACTCGAATAACACAATCATTTGATGAGGACACAACTAAAGCATTGTTTGAACTCACGGCCAAGTCAGTAATATCACCCTATCAAACATTGTATATAATTCAATCCAATGGTCAGCAAATATTAAAGCAATGCAAGTCTATAAGAACAGGAAAAACATGTTTTGAAGTACAAAAAAGACTCACTTCGTGTCCACGGCAACTGGCCAAACTATATGCAGTTTCCATTGACCAAATTTTTACAAGTCGATCATTTGAACCAGTAATAACATATCTTCCTGACCGGTCAAATATAGCTGTAGTATAAAATAAAATCAGGTGTGTGAGATTATTAAACAAGCCCAACTCCAAAACCACAGAAAAATTCAAGAAAAACAGCAATAAAAATAATACTCACCGTAAGACCCACACAACATGAATTTAAGTCATTTTGGAAAAGTACAGTAATTGAGTTTATTAACTTAAAATATCCTACATATTTTAAAGGAGGGAGGAGCTTCTCTTGTTCTATTAATCAAGGGCATTTATGTTCATTTTATGATTGTATGACATTGTGTTTAATTAGCTGTATGAGGCATTTGAAGCAGAAGGTTTCTCCTATATGGGTGACCCGTTGCCCCCAAACTGTCGTGTCATAGGATTGTGCCTGTAGCTTCTCTTTTCCTGTTCTACTCTGGGTATTTTGAGTGAGAAGTTTCAATTTCTGATATCAAGGACTGGAAATAGGTACCTTGGGGTTTGTATCTCTTATTTTTTGGAACATTTTATTCTCCCCTTAACTGTACTTCCTCCCTTTCCTCTTTAATAAAAGTAATCCAATACATTCGGAGAAAAGAAGAGTATAGACTATTTTCAGCTTTTCAAAACAGATAAGTGGACAATTCATGATTATTAGAAAAGCACTAATGGAACATAATTGAAAGAAAAGAAAGGGAGCTTTAGCTAACCCGACCTAGTCGGATTGGGTAAAATATGATCTACGATCTCTGCTATGCAAAAGGAAAACTACAAACTTGTCATTGGCAGAGACAGCAGGGATTTGAAACTCTTGAGGTTTTCACAAAAATAGAATATAATACAGGCATAAGGATGGAATATAGCTAAAAAAAGTGTTTAATAATATAAGAATTGTATGGAAGAAAAACCAACAAAACTTGGAAGTTTGCTAAAGCCCAGTATCACAATACTAAAACTTTTAGAAAAGGTTAAATACTTTCTGGTATTATATAGAATAGCCTACCACAATAAACAGCATTACGGTGTCCTCTAACTCTCTTGATATTTTGCATCTTCTGTACCATAGTAGAAGGTTTTGCAATGGCATAGCATGCAGCACGTATAGATGGTCCACGGCGGTGTCTTGGAAAACCACCCCCGATTTCCCTTAAATTAAGCCCATGAACCTGATTGGCTTTCATATGAGGCCAGCGCATATAAGGAGGTGGCAGTTTGGCATCTTCATTCCCTTTATCCTTGTCATCTATAATAGAGAAAAAAGTAAAATAAATACAGATATAGAAAGGCAAAGCCGATTCAATTAAAAACACAGTACTAAGAGCAGCCCAAAGTGTTCAAAGTCATAATAATTAAAGCATAAGTAAATTACACGTACGGCTCAGAAGTGAAAATGATCCGCTTCCCAGAAGAGTGGGTACATCAGCTGCATTTGGAGCTTTTCCAGTACTCAAGTCTGGTGACAGGAAGGCTGTATTTAATAACAATTGCTTCAAAAGCTTTACCAAGTGATCCTTTTCAATATGAGGGTACCTATATAATAGTCAATTGCAACATCAATGAAAAATATCACTTTGGAAAGCAATACATAAAAATAGTTACATCCTCATTTGTTCACTATATACAGCCCATAACTAGCAATCAAACAACTATACTGTTAACACAACTAGCAAAAAAGGCCATGAAAATGAATTGAGAAAATAGACCAGTACTGATGAACTTTCAAGACCTTAGCAAGGTAAAACACACAACCATCAACAGGTAGAGGCTAAAGGAAAAACACAACATGAGCAACACACTAAACTAAAGCATTGTAAATACCTCTCTAAATAAAGTAGATTCTAGCTCTGCATAAGCATAATCAAATGCTTGTAACTGGTGAGTTTATACATAATTAGCTTATAGTCACTAAAATCACAAACAAAAATAAAACAATTAATCACATTCATAAAAAAATAATAGGTACTAAAATAATGAAAACTATATAGTAGTTACACCTAGCACAAAGAAGTTGTAACATTCATACCATAGTGTTATGTATCTTATATGCATTAACCACCACATATAAAATCACAATAGTTTGTATGTACTGAGTTAGTATTATGCCTTTGTTTAGTACATTCCAACCTGAGTTGTTCAAAGAGTATTCAATTACATAAAACTCTGTGAAATTTATGAGTTATTCTCTACAGTAGAGTCAACTCCATTTTTACAAACCTTGTACATTAGTTAGTAACCAATAAATGGCATGTTCTAAAACCAACTTATGCTGATTTAGTACATCAATAATCACACACATAAATATAACAGAAGTTTAGGATAATTCAAATGTTTCATTCAAACCTACAATAATCAACATTTAGAAGTTCATGACAGGTGTAGATTTTTCACTAAGAAACTACAAAACTTGAAACTAAACACGAGAAAACATACTCAGACAAGTAAAAACAAACACATAGAATGATGAGTGATAGTTGTAGGCTTGTAGCAAATTCAAAGTTAGCATTTGGAACTTTAGTAATCTCTGTGGATTAAGAAGGAAACTCAATAGGTTCCATTGACACACTACTCAAATAAATCAATAAAAACTTATAAACAAAATTTAACTTCAACAAAAAATAAAGATAAAAAAGGATCATTCAAGAAAATGTCACGCACATACTGCGTATATACAACCCCAACTTGACAGAGGATTTCCCAAACAAAATTATTTACCTAGTAGAAGGATTTAAACCAATATATGCACTTGACATGCAAAGCTTTATCCAAAAACCTTATATCTAATTATGCCATGAACAACTAAAAAGTATAAATAGTCAAAACTTGATTATATGTTTAGTTGTGATGTAGTACTACCATGGAACTCAAGGCAGATACACGATAAGATAAATTTTTAATGAGGATTTATTAATGTTCATATAATTATAATAATGTTGCGCATCATCCAGAACTTATCATATCTATTACACACAAAATGTAACAATATAAGAGAGACAACAAATAAAAACACTAACATGAGAAATGTATCAAAGAAGTTAACAATTTACAAGGGCACTTACGGCGTAAACTCTTCTTCAGATGGCTCTGCTGGTAAATCTTTAGCAGCAACAACTCCGATCATTTTTCTCAACCGCCCCTGCTTAGAACTAATTTTCAGTGGATCTTTAGATGCTGCTTTTGCAGGTTCCACAAAAGGATCCTGCACAGATTCCACTGAAGATAAACTGGACAATGGTTGATCCTGCAACAAAATCGGTAGCAGCAGCAGAAAAGAACAAAAATCAACATCAACAATAAACATTTTTCCTTCGCATTTCTCAAATATAAAGGATTCAATTGTAGTCATGCTACTATAGGCTTTTAGCTTAAGCAATCTAAATCATTTGTTTTAATAAACAAAGTTCAGCAACTACATACAATGGACGCCACACTGAATCGCGACACTTTGCAACGGTGACTGCAAGGCTATGTTATCGAAGCATTAATGCATGAATACTAGATTGTATATACATGATCACATTCACAAGATAATGTTGATTACCTGTGAAGCTGAGACTATTGAATAGGGTGATTTGATGCGCTCTTCAGGTGAAAAATTGTCAAAAGATTTCCATAACATCATAACACAAATAATGTAAGAAGCAAATTAGACTTTTTTTTCTATTACAATACCTAACGAGATGGATCATTTCATCATCTTTAATCTCAGCAAGAACCTCATTGTGTTCATCCTTTGAAATTTTGAGTTCACTTATAAGACTAATTATCAAATCTTGCTTTTCCTGGTAAATTACACAATAAACAAAAGTTATTAATACACATACTATAGTTATTATATATTATATCATATAGATATGTGCATATACCTGATCGATATCGTTGGCTTTGTATATGAAAGCACGCAAGACAGAAGTGTATGCCTGCACCTCAGCTCGGTGAATGACATTATTAATCTCATGTCGAACATCCGAGTCTGTGATGCTTCTTACATCGAACTCAGAATCCGAGTCTGTGTTCATTCCCACACTTCCCTTGAATTCTAATTCTGCACAATTCAGAACCACCAACTCAATTCGCAGCAGTTCGCACAAAAATGCAACTCACGCAACAGAACACGCATCACCCAAGCAGAATAAGGGCACCAAACTCACTCATCTCTCAAGACTCTCACTCACAAAGGAAGCAGCAAGAACAATTACACATCACCACTTCAAGCCACAACAACAACACAATACCAATCATAGAATAATCAACAATTCATAACCTACAGGCTAAAGAGATTGGAGAAGAAGAAGAAAGAATTAGAGAGAAGAAGGAGCAATAGATTCATACTTACCTGAGTGGAGCTTGTCCTTCGTTCATCCTCATCAACCCCTACAAGATCGGAGAACTTCTCATCCTCGTAAGTAGGGAGAGAAGTTCGCGTGAATGAGGGAAGGGAGAAAAGTTAGGGTTTAAACAACCCCCAATTTCAAGTTTTAGAACATATTAATTAATTAATAACTTTCAAATCAAAATTAAAATCACATGGTGTTATTGTTCTAGTGGTAGTGAGGTCTGTCTACATAGCAAAGGATTTGGGTTCAAGTCTTGGTTTTGCCATTTTTTTTAAATTAATTTTTCAATCATATTTTCAAGTTTGAGTTAGAGCACTTCAAGGACAGGGGTTCGATCCCCACTTTGTACATTTAATTATATGCGAATAATTAACATTAAATTTTAAAAAATAGAAATAAAAAATACCACACTTCAAAAGCGTTGCAAAAAAGGAATAAGCTACGGTTATACTATAACCACATTTTCAAAACCGTAGCATATAATAAATAGGGGACGGTTTTGAAAGAAAAGCGTCAACACTAAAAATGTGTAGCCTATGTTACTTATAGGGACGGTTTTACAGTCGTTGTCTATTTCTCCGTTGCCTAAAGTCATTTTTGTTGTAGTGAGATAAACTTACATACAAAACCCCAACAAATGAAAAATACATAGAGAGGAAGGAAGAAGAACACAAATCTCACGGTATGTCAACTCCGATTGAAGTGGATTCGACTTCGGATCGTCAAGATGCACCCTCCAATGTTGTTTCTAAGCTAAATCTACTCAAGAATGTGTTTGATGAAGTTGGGGTAAAAAGATCCCAAACAACATCCCCTAAAAAATGCTCAAAAATCACTTAAATGGACAAAATTGGGTCCCAGTATTCGCCTGGCGAAGTCCCGTTCGCCTGGCGAACATATGCAACATTTGCTACTGGCAAAACAGTGTTTTTCACGCGTTTTAGAATTTTCTGTTCGCCTGGCGAAGTCCCGTTCGCCTGGCGAACATGACAGCAAACCAGCACTTGTTTCAACCATAACTTTTGAACCGTAACTCCGTTTTACGCGCGGTCGGAAGCGTTGGAAAGCTTATTCAATGCTCTATAAGATAATGACAAAATATCATTGCTTATATACCTACAAAAAATGAGAAAAAATAAATTAAACTCAATGAAATTTACGCGACACTCAATATATACACTATAATTTAAACTATACAACATATGCACAAAAGTTGAGGTTTATTGGTTGAATCAAGCCAATAAGTGTCAATTATTTACACTCTAAATCAGTATATTTTAGCACTTATCAACTCTCCCCAACTTAAACTTGTTTGTTCTCAAACAAGAATCGATCAACTCAAGGAAACAAAAGTAATAACCAAGCAATTACGATTCAACAAATTTTGAAAAACAAAAACAAATGTATGGTTCAACACAAAAACATACATGCAAAGCAAAACATACCACTAAACTATAACGATAACATGAAAATGAAACAACTCTTAAATACAAAACACATGTCAAAAATTCTAAGACAATACAAAGTTCAAAAATGAATCACACCTAGCACACACTTCATCAGTAGATGAATAAAAAAAATACGAGGGACTTAACTCTCACCCAACAATCAAGTCAACAACAAGTTAAATTATGCATTCATCAAGAAAAAACTCATATTGAACAGTATAAAAGCAAAAATCACAAGGGCTTTAAGGGTTGTAATGTGGCTTGGGTAACAAACAATTGTTTTTCTCAAGGTAAAAGAACAAAAACTTGCCTAATCAAATGAGAGCGATCATTTCTCACAATCTCAAGCACTCACAAATTTCAATCACCTTTTCCTTTTTTCCAAATTGTTACACCATTCCACACAACTTATTAGCAAAATATTATTCTCTTTTTTTTTCCTTTTTTTTTCTTTTCTTTCTTTTTCTCAACCTCTTAGCAACCAACCTCTTCTCCCTAACTTGAATACAACCACACATAGTGACATGAATGCTCCAAAACTTATTAGGCAAGGGTAAAAACTCAAATAACAAGTCATGGTTATAGTTCAAGAAAAAGTATTAGAATCCATACAAAAATGAACTTAACACCAATATGGATTCTAACAAAGGCTCAAAGGGGTAAGCAAATTCTCACTCACTCACAAGGTAGATTGACTATTTGGTCAAGTTGGTATGCTCAAAATAAAACAAAATGCCTTGATCATTTTAGTGCTATCATACAAATCAACATAAATACAAGATTAAACATAATAAAACCGAGTTAAACAAGAATGTTAGTCTCCTGCATATAGTAAACAATGGAAAGCTCCTCACAAAAAGGTTTAGTTCTAAAGTGATTCAAAACTGAACAAGTATGGCAAAAGAATGAATGACATGAAAATTGTACAAATGAAAAGTCTCATAATCATGCTATGTTCTAGAAAGCGATAAACGAGTACCTTGCAAAGTACTAACTTCAAACAATATCAAAACCATACATTCGCAAGTTGAAACGATCAAACTTGGAAAATCACAAAATGCATCCTCAAGCTAATAAAAAAAAAACTTGAGAGCAAACACAAACATTATTCTAACAACCTAACAAAATTGAATTAAACTAAATAAACATAAAGCTATACAAACTCAAAAACATTTGGGTTGCCTCCCAACAAGCGCTTGTTTCATGTCGTTAGCTCGACACCTAACTTCCTCACATACACGCCGATGCTTTGTCAAAGCGCCAACCTAAAGAAAGTGTCATAACCAAACACTTGAACAAATGTTACGAGAATAAAATATATACAACACTTAAACAAACATAATGGAAGACAAAAGCAAAACAAGTATCTATACAAGTATATATATATATATATATATATATATATATATATATATATACAATTATGTGCAAAGCTTAGAAATATAGAAACTATCGCAATGCGACTCAATATTAAAACCAATCCCCGACAACGGCGCCATTTTGTTGGAGCGGTAAAGCAGCAAGCAAAAATATTATTTTCGGAAGAATTTCCTCCGGGATTTATCGTCTCCACAGGGATCAGTGTGAGGGAAAGAATGCCGTTCGACAATCTCTACGTCTCTAAGCTTGGGTTTGAATGGTTTGAGATAAAAATTCAAAAGGAAAAACAAACATAATACAAGAAAATGAATACATTCTTAAGAAATGAGAAAACTCGTCAGGAGTTGCATTTCGTTCTACCCATCATGTACTAAAAAAATATATTGATCAAATGCACGCAACCTAATTCACTAGTCAATATCATCACGTATCGCTCACAATAGAGCTTATCTCTAACGCAAAGTCGAGAGATCAACCGTATCGTCTCATTGTTGATCTCTCACACAACTCGACAACACGGAGCATTAAGAATCGATACCCATGTGAATATTAGTCCTAAATCTATCTCTAGCATTTAGAATCTAACAGATGTTCATCTTAGATTGAGTTTGAACCGTATATCTCTATAGAAATCCAAACCCATTAAGTAAAAAATCAAGATAACCATCCATAAAGAGTTGTAAAAGAGATTTTATACAAAGATCCATAAATATACATACAATCAAGATAAACTTACATACAAAACCCCAACAAATGAAAAATACATAGAGAGGAAGGAAGAAGAACACAAATTTCACGGTCTGTCAACTCCGATTGAAGTGGATTCAACTTCGGATCGTCAAGATGCACCCTCCAATGTTGTTTCTAAGCTAAATCTACTCAAGAATGTGTTTGATGAAGTTGGGGTAAAAAGATCCCAAACAACATCCCCTAAAAAATGCTCAAAAATCACTTAAATGGACAAAATTGGGTCCCAGTATTCGCCTGGCGAACATATGCAACATTTGCTACTGGCAAAACAGTTTTTTTCACGCGTTTTATAATTTTCTGTTTGCCTGGCGAACATGACAGCAAACCAGCACTTATTTCGACCATAACTTTTGAACCGTAACTCCGTTTTACGCGCGGTCGGAAGCGTTGGAAAGCTTATTCAATGCTCTATAAGATAATGACAAAATATC